GAATGCTCGGTTTTTGTCTTTTGTTGGAGAATTTTTCACTTTCAAGACCACTTTGTTTATCCTTTTGGATAATAGGTTGGCTGTCCTCTTTGAGAAATTGGCTTTTTTACTACTAGATCTGGTTAAATGTTTTCGTTGCTTGGCTCCATTGCGAAAACCAAATATTATCGTCCTCAGCAAATTGCAGGAAAGCATAACCACACTCAAAGATGGCGAATTAGTACTCATTATATCTTTCCGGCATCAAAGAGATGTACTATCCATTCATTTTACAGGAACTTGTCACACGTTGATTTTCCTAGCGCAATCTAGCAATTTCTTAATTCATTTAAAAATTCTAAGAATCTTAGGTGAGGGAAACTTTGCAACTCTAAATATCTCATTCCAGAGATCCAGGGAGCAAAATGGATTTTATTGAATGAAACTTTGGCATACACAATTTGAACATGTCACTTATCCTTCGTTGTCTTTATCATAAAATGCGGTAGTTAATGGTAGCTACGGAGCGGTAGGTGTAAAAACATGTTTTAATCCTTGCTACTCGGAGAGTCTGGTTTGTTGTACCGATATTAAGCTGTCCCCAGTTCATATCGTCACTTTTTGGGTAACGTTGAAGACACATGGAAACTCTCCACAAGATTTGATCAATTTAAAACATATGCAGTTTTAAATATTTTAAAAAATTTGATTTGGAACAACTTTCCAATTGCCATTCTCCATACTATCTGCAGTAAATGCACATCATATGGATTAAAAAAACGAAAGAACTCAAAATAAATGCTTAAGAAGTTGACTAGACGAGTCTATTGTTTTCGCTTTCTTATTCATTAACGTATCTTTGCTGAAACACAACTTCAAACCTTGATTCCCACCACATGGCTAGGTATGGCTGGTGTTCCAAATGAAATGCATTCCTGCTCTAGCTGCGCAGAAATGCATGCCGTCCATTTGCCGTTTTAATAGCATTGCTTGCAGTCATTTAGTTGAGAAAACTTTGTTTCGGAATATCTGTCGGTAATAAGATTGAGATTTAAAGGGATTGAGACAAAGACGATGAATCAGTTGAGTCTATCCATTGGCTCGCAATTGCCAATCCCTTGTGACGTGACTTGAGGTCTCACTTCTATCAAGGAAAAGCTCGCATAAGATACGGATCGGAGTACATT